CGATGCGTACATGATAAATCTAGAGCATAAGCCACGAAAATCACTTTTTTAACGTAAAAATAGCAATTAATCGATTTAAACATGATAATAAGTTTATATATCATTTACATGTTCAATATGATTGTTGGATACTGTTACGAGCTTAGGGTTCGTGACAATAAAAATTGCCGAGAGATAGAATTACCAAAATTAACACTTTAATTCACTTTACACTAATTAAAACTTAAAAGACACTAATAATTAATCACACTGATTCACTTTATTTCGCTCCGAAGCTTCGCTTGTCTCGCCAAATTCAATACTGCCCCGACCGCGTTTTGCAACGTTTTTAAATACACATTTTTCACAGAAACGTCCAGAATATTCAAGTATTTACTTGAATATTCTGGACGTTTCTGCCAACGTTCACCCCAACCGACCAGGCGCAGAAAGTTCGAGTGTGGGGCTTCCAGAAAGCTTAATTCTTCTGTTCGATACTAGATGGCGCTGTTGGTCAAAAGATTAGTCATGTCATTTTCTGGAAAGCTCTCCTCGCTTTGTTACCCGACACTAGATGGCGCTAGTGCCAAACGTCAACTTAGGCGCGCAACACTGCCCTCTCTTAAGACATGCTCGTCCCGAGCATTATCGGCCCCATAACAACGCGCCAGGCGATCCACATGATCACATCCACACGATCTTAGGAGTCCCTCTTGCGCCTTTCTGTATCCGGTAGGTTACATCGTTGATCCTGGTCACAATCCGGTACGGGCCGTCCCATTTAGCTTGAAGCTTAGGAGATTTACCTTTGCTGCGGACTGGATTGTGCAACCACACTAGTGAACCTTCATCGAACCCTTTGTTGTTCATTTTGCGGTCATACCGGGTTTTATCTTTTCGGACATTTGCTGGCCCGATTGTCTGACGTGCTCATAAATGTCATTCATTTTGTTCCGCAAGTGATTTGCATAATCGGTTATAATGCGTGGGGCATCAGATGGTGTCCCGGTGATCAGGTCTGCAGGCAGCCGTAATTCTCTTCCAAAGTTTGCGAAAGCTGGTGTCACTGTTGTACTTTCGTGAACAGCGCTTCGATAGGACAACAAAAACGGTTGTATGTGCTTGTCCCAATCTCGTTGCCGATTGTCTACAACTTTTGCTAGGTACCTCTCCAATGTCTGATTAAATCGTTCTACCATTCCATCAGATTGCGGGTGATAAGAAGTCGTTCTTGTTTTATGAGTATCCATAACTCGGCAAGTTTCCTGGAATATTTGAGACTCAAAATTCCTTCCTTGATCGCTGTGAATCTCTAAAGGTACTCCAAAACGACAGAAGACTTCATGAACTAGTTGATCCGCAACTGTTGAAGCTTCTTGATTGGAAATGGCGAAGACCTCTGGCCACTTAGTGAAGTAATCCATCAAAACCATGAAATACTTGTTACCGCTTTCACTCTCCGGAAACGGCCCCGCCACGTCAATGGCTATTCTCTCCCATGGTGCACCAACATTGTACAACTTCAATGCACCTCTACTACGAGTCTGAGGTCCCTTTACAGGTGCACAACTTGTACATTTGCGACACCAGTCCTCGACATCGTTTCGACACTGGACCCAGTAAAACCGTTCTCGGATCTTCAGTAGAGTTCGTTTAACTCCCAGATGGCCTCCTGAACAATCATTATGATACAGCTGTAGAACATCCGGTACTTTAGCTTTAGGGACAACCATTTGCAAATGACAGCTGTCTCCCCGAACATTTTCCTATTTACGGCACAGAACTCCATCCTGAAGCAGCAAGCTGTCCCATTGGGCCTAACAGCTTTTAGTGGTCGAACTCATCGCTGAGACGTCGCTCCACTTGGGCTTGGGAGCACTGGCCTTCATGCATTCCAGAATCGGCTTGATGTCCGGATCTTCCTGCTGCGCATGTTGTAAGCTGTCCTTCCACTCGTTGCTGAGGTGGTCTGTCCTGAGCATCCTCACGGATACCACTTCCTTACTCTCTTGCCTAGTACAATGTTTGCAATCTTCAGGACAAGGTCTTCTTGACAATGCATCTGCGTTGCCATGAGATTTCCCGCTGCGATGTTCGATCTCAAAGTCGTATTCCTGCAGTAGTTCAATTCACCTCGCGACTTATCCTTCTGGATTTTTAAACTGCAATAGCCATTTTAGTGCAGCATGGTCAGTTCGTAAGTGAAATTTTCGCCCCAGAAGATATTTGCTAAAATGCTGCAACGACTTTACTACAGCTAGCAATTCCCGTCTTGTGACACAATAGTTCCTTTCCGGTTTTGACAACGACTTGCTGAAGTACGCTATCACGACCTCTTGGTCACCATTCCGTTGAGACAACACACCGCCAAGTCCTATATCACTTGCGTCTGTGTCAACTATAAATTATTTGCTTGCATCAGGGTATCCCAAAATAGGTGTTTTGCATTTTGTGTTTGATTTCAAGCAACAACACGTTGGATTCTTGATTTTTAGACAAGACATTATTATTATTTTTATAATCACTGATTTTCATTACAATATGTTGTTTCGCCAAAAATACGTAGGATTTATATATAAGTATACTTATACGCCTTGGACTTTATGGAGTGACCTGAAGATGTACTCTGGTCAACACTAAATTAAAATACTGGTTATGATTAGATAAAAAAACTTTACGAGAACAAAATAAAGTTGATGAGAATTTTTTTATTAATTTTTTTCATTTGGATTTATCACAAGCTTTTTTTATCTTTTATATTATGATATAATCCGCTTGTATTTCTATTAATACATTTTGAATAAGTTTAAGTAGAATTTTAGTAAATTTAATGATTTTTAAAAGACAATATATATCATACGATGTTCGAAATGAATGTTGAAGGTTTTTACCTATAAAATTGCCGTTTTTTATGAAATAAGTTAACGTATTTTTTTATTTCTATTAGTAAAAGTAATCACCCATGCAATTGATACATCTTGGCCTACGCAGTTGCAGTTTATTGATGCAATTCTGGAAGAAATCAGCTGGACGGTAGGCAACTAATTCTTCCAAGGCATTTTATACTGCCTCTCGTGTATTGAATTTTTTCCGCCAAAAAGTTACCCAAAATCTGTAAAAAGTAGAATTCTCTAATCTGATAGGTACGGCGGATGACGGAGAGCTTCTAACCCCAAGCTCTTGTAACTTAAAGACCGTCTGTTGTGCAATATCAGGTCGCGCATTTCGTGCAAGAGCAGCGGGGACGAGCGATTAACGAAAGCTGGGTGGAGACGTGCGAGTTACTCCATCATTGTGTTCATTTGTTTTACAGTACACATCTGCAATAATGCTCATCTCGTTTGGTAACAAGCTATAATGATTTACGCCGGCGCTAGATCACCAAACAGTGACAATCACTTTTCTAGGGGTAAGTTTTCGTCTAAGATTTTGTGGGGCCCATTTGTCAATTTTTTTATCTTTTTAACGCAAATGAACCAATATTGTTTTGATTCCAACGTCGAAAACCGCTGCCAATTCTGCCGTAGAATGAGTAACATCAGCTTCCACAATCGTTTCGTCGTTGTGGACCAAAATTTTCGGATGACCACGAGGTTCATTTTTCTGGTCGGAGAAAATCAATAACAGGTGCGGTTACGTGCCGCTTGTGCCGCGTTGTTACCACGACGGTACTTATATTCCATAATTACTTGAATTTTTAACGTATCAATGTTGACGAAAAAGATTCAAATACAACGAAAACATAACGCTTATCAATAAACTAGGGCCGATGCAGATGCAAAGGTAAAATCTTTTGCTAGCATCATAAACGGAGCGGAGTAAAAGTCTAAAGTCATAACTATCTTTATTTCAACAAATGCTTCAATCAAATGGTGTGACATTGCGCAGATGTAAATTAATCAGTTCATCTAACCAATTCAAATTAATCAACTCATCTAATCAATTCGCTAATTTATTAGATAGTAAAAAAAATTCAAATTCAGATTTTTATTGTTTGCAAACCTTGTCTGCGTTGAGCCACTAATATTGCTGAAAAAATTATGTAAATTGGCCTACGGGTTACGGAGCAGATAGATTTCAAAGAATCGTTTTCTTGCGCCATGGGAGCTCCGCTCCAAGAAATAACTAATTTTGAAAAAAGAATATGCATATTTTTAAGATAAAATTAACTTGAAATTAGAATAGCCACACAAAAGTTATTTTAATGGCCAGTATAGCATAACGGCAATTTCAGGGGGAAAGATCTATTATTTTACTTGTATGCTTATTAATGCATTTAAATTTTTCAAAATATTAATTTTAAGAGATTTTTTGGAAACTTTACAATATGATGAAATATTAGCGTTTTAGATAACACCACGTAGGACTACATGTATGACACAGATAGTAGTAAACAAGCATAAATCTCTAAAGTAATCGTCAAAATACGTAAAAGGAATTTGTATTCTAAATATGTTATTATTTCAAATAAAAACCCCCGAGCACTATTTCTTTACCGTTTTACTTTTCTTTATTAAATCAAAGCAAATCAACTATATAAACTGGCACCTTAGAGAATTTTTGAGCTATTAATGTTTATATATTAATCTCTACTTCTTAGCGGGGGAACTTGATTTGCTTCCTTTTCTAGCAAATCAAGTTCCCCCGCAATAAAATCCGTCAATTTCTAAGTGGCACCGCTCTGGTGAATGCCCTCAATACTTGCGAATTAGAAGTAGTGTATCTGCATACAGTACAATGTTAGTGAGTTTACTAAATTGAGTTGTTAAATTATTAATTTAGATATATAAAGCTTACGTACAGGTATAGCGGTGGAATTTTAATAGATTGTAATGATGATGTGAAGTGTGTGTATGTATTTATTTTGGACGAATTGTGTTTATTTACTTTCAACTTAAAAAGTACCTAACTAAATAAAAAATGGTGTGTTTTGCAGATAGTTTATTATTTCCTTTTACAAAGTTTTAAAAAAATGCTACAACAGCAATAAACTCAAATAATTTGTAATTTCTATGATTATATTAAAATGCACTCATGCTATTTATATTACGTTTAGATGTGGAGGCTTCGTTGGCATCAATTTCAAGTTCTGGCGGCATAAGAGGGTCTATTTTAATATCCAAATCTTTTAACGCATCATCCAAAATTTTGATTTTCCCCAAAATTTTTTCAGCCTTTAAATTGTAGCCTGGCTCGAGCATCTTGCCAGTTGGATTAAGCTTGAATAAATATTCAGCCTGAAAACAATATTTGGTAAATTTTTATCTTCTTCTTCTGAATGATCAGCACGTAAAGTGCACAACGATTCGCCTTACTCACGCTTAGCAGGCAGTTTGACGATCACATAACCAGAGACCTCGTACCTTTGAAGTTGCTACCCATCGTCGACCTATGGCATGATGTTTTAAATCTGGCGTAAACTAGATGGTTTTATCGCTATCTATCGGAAGCCACGAGTTTTTTCTGGTATATAAACCATAATGCTAACTTATTATGATCCCTGCATGTTCTAGACGGATGTAATCCAGCGTTTCAAGAGGTGACCTTGGTGAGAGCTTGGTTTCCATTCGTGGATTGTGTTTCGGTTAGTCAGATCACAACCAAACGCCAACGCGGTCGAATTTCACTGTGAATCGCGCTCGTGTAGACTCAAGGTATAGAAATGGCTCCAAATTTCAAAAGATGGGCCTTGCTTTAGCAGTTTTGTGCGCAATCTTGTGAGCAAAATGAAAACAAAGACAGTGAATCCAGCACTGGTTAAAGGAACGATTAATATAAAGCCATTCAAACTTATTGGAGTTATTGGACGTGAATTGTATTCATAACTTTTTGAATTAGAACCACGGTTCTTTTGTTTTTTTTTACGCTTTTTTTTTGTTCTTGACCTTTTGCAACCGCATACGTACACATGCGCTGCTTGCCGCAGCACAACTACCCTTGGTAAGATGTAATCCACTGGCTAAACGGATGTAATTCACACGCTCCACTGCGGATGCGAGCGCGCGCCCGTCTTCCAAGGACGTTGAAGGTCAAGTGAAAATTTGGATTACATGTGCCGTACAGATGATGGCAACAAGCAAGGTCACCGCTGTTGGGACGCTGGATTACATCCATCTGGAACAGAAATCTGGAAAAGAAATCGTTACCAGTAAAAAGATGAGCTTTTTCCTAAAGGTTCTTAAATAAAATAAAAAAATTTAATTTGTTTATTTTTCATGCATGGTATTCCATCTTAGTCGTCAGAGGAAAAAAACACATCTATAGGTTTTTTTTGAAGTTGGCTACTACTAACCATCAGGTGGACCTGTAAGTTCGTTTGTCACTTCATTTATGTAAAAAAAAGCGTGCGAAAAAAAAAGAAAGTTGAAAAAGTGTGGAAAAATTGAAAAGCTATATGATGATGATGATGACGTTGATGATTTTTATTGATTTATTAACTGTTGTGTATTTTTATTGATTGATTAACTGTTATTACATACATTTTCTAACAATATGGATAGAGTTAGTCAAATGGAAATTTGCCTACGATTATTTATATCGTCTCTGCCCCCACTCTTGCAGGAGTATAATATCGGATCGTATAAGGAAGGTTTTTTAGAAAAGCAGAGTTCAGCTAAGTGACAGACTATCGGTACTAATAAATACTTGCTAATAAAAAAAATCTTATGTTATTACAACTAGAAGCGCTATCAAATATGAGGTTCATGAGTAATTTTTAAACTTCATCAGAATCAGTGTCTAAAATGAAGTGAGATGAGAGTTGATAATTAATTATGTGTGATAAAATACCTATAATTGTTCTGATGACATGTAGAGTTTACACAGACAATCAAAAACTGTCATCAGCAAGTTTTTGTTCGATATTCTCTAAAACTAAATGTAGGCGCTATTATAACTGGCTTTACAATGCGACTTTATATATTCATGAAAACTATTAGTTGTTTATTATTACAGTTCGAACGAAATTGCTTTGGAGATGATATCATCATTACTTCTTTTATTCCTTTAACTCACGCACGCACGCTCTGACGCACATTCTGCTAAAAACATTAGAATCGGACTTTGGGTAACGTTAAAACGTGAAATATGTAGAAATTTGGACATCTAAAAATCGAAACAAAAAAACTAAAGAGAAGTTTAAAAAACTGAAAAAAATTAGTAAGAACCAACTTAAGTCCTACTACTATGACTACTCTTAATACAAAACAAATATCAATCAATCTATCACTTTTGATTTTGCTCGAAAGCTCGGTCTGTGAAGATATGCAGAATTTTTATCATAAAATGTTATATACTTCAATGTTAAAGTTCCAATAGTTATTCTTTAGCTATCCAAATCAAAATCACAGTATGCAATTTTTTTTAAAACGTTAAACTCCATCGCACATCGCGACAAAACTCGCGATGCCATCCATAACATGTGGATGGTTGGCAATCTACCACTGTGAGATTTAGAAGTTTTCTTTCTCGCACAACTTCCCTGTGAAATCGACCACCAGCTATTTTTCCGGACCAATAAGACTGAGGAATAAAAACACCTCACAACTTTAAAAGAGTTTAATTTAAGTAATCTAAGTCAATGATTCAATGAACTTACCACTCCTAAAATATTTACTAATTATTTAAACACTTTTTATTATTAAATTAATTTCTACACTCTACAACTATATTTTTCATTATGCATATAGTTTATAAGAAAAGGGCCTACTCTCTTTTTAAATGCCGGCGACGCATCTGTGATTCCCCTGGTATTGCAGTTGTTCATGGGCGGCGGTAGTCACTTACCATCAGTTAAACCGCATGCTCGTTTACCCCCTCTCCTATAAAAAACCTAGAATTTGTCATTTTTTATATTATAAGGGTGAAAAAGGAGCCCACAGCCCACCTGATGGTAATTAGATGCTGTAGGCAATAGAGACCTACATCCGTCCTTCATTAACCCAAATGAAATTCGTTTTAGGTAATCAAGAATGGATATACGGACTTTTACTAACATCATACATAATACCAATCATTTTTGTTTTTTCGCATGTATGTAATATTAACGGGTCGTGGTAGTACTCATTGCGTAATTACAAATAATCTAATTATCAGGATGATACTACCATCGGTAGTTGAGATCAAGATTCTATCCACAATTTCCGTACTAGTCTTCTAAAGATATGAATAATAAAAGTCGGGATTACCTATTTGTATCAGGAAAGAAATTTATTTAATTGATATTTTATTGCAACACACCTTCAACTACGGCTTACAAAGGATGGACTTAATTCCCTATGGCATTCTCTACCAGTCAACCTTACGAAAGATAGAGTAAATCTTTATTTAATTGTATATAGTAAGTCCTTACAAATGAAATTGCGTTTTGTACGGGAGGAATATAAGTCTTTTTTTTTTTTTGTAAAATATATTTAATTAATCAAAATATACACCGTTGTTATCTATGCACTTTTGCCGTCTCATAGGTTCTCATTGATTCCTTTACTAAAAAAAAACCATGGGGGGCGAGAATTAATAAACTCTTTGAAGGCGGTTTGGATAGCCGCATCGGCGTTGATTTTTTTCCTTGTTCCGTAAAAAATGGTAATCTGTTGGGGCAAGGTCCGGGGAGTACGGTGGATTTCGCAGACAAGCTGAGCAACAAGACCAAGGCGACCCCTGCCACGCTATTCATTCTAACCTAAATGCCGTCCACTACCATCTCGAGACGGCGAGGCTGGCTTTGCTCTTTCTGACCGAGACGCAGGTGTCCTCTCCGGCTGATGCTTCGTATCTCTCCTACCCGGAGTACAAACTGGAACACTCCTTTGTGCCTCGGGCTGGAGTTTGCGTATACGTCAGAGAGGACATCTGTTCTCGACGCCTCGGCAGTCTTGAAGGTTCGGACCTGTCCATCCTTTGGCTACGCGTAGACAGCGACGACCATCCGCGCGTCTTCGGGTGCCTCTATAGGTCCCATAGCGGTAATGCCGAAACAGACCGACTACGATCTACGCGGATTCCAGATGTGGAGGATCATACACCTTCCCTGTTGTACCTTCTGCTGACCTCTCATCCGGACGGATATTAGAACTCCGTCGACGCCCCTTTAGGCTCCTAGGACCATTGTCTTGTCCGGAGTGTGGTGCCACTCACGCTGAAATCGCGGTTGCATTCTACAGGCTGCCGCCGTGTTTTGCACTATAGGTCAGCCAATTGGGATAGGATGCAGTCTTTCTTTGCATGCCCTTGGGGCAGGTATGCTTCTCGCTGGTCGATCATAACGTTGTTGCTGATTCTGTCGCTGATGTGGTACTTCACGGTAGGGAACATTTTATTACTTTTGTGGTGCCCATCGGGGCAAATCTCAGGCATGGTTTGGTCACTACTGTAAAATAGCATCATTCTATAAGCAGGAGTGCTACAAAACCTGAGCTTACGCATCGACGTCCCGTGATGTAACACCAGCGCTCTAAAAAAGAAGCACATTTCCTCCTCCAGGTCCTTCAAAAGAGTCATTGCCAAGGCAAAGTCAGAGCACTAACAACTAGTTCGCCTTCCTTCTGGAACCCGTGCATTCTGGTCGCTCGCCAAGGCTGTTCAGGGGAATTTCTGTCAGCTATCTCTTCCATCTCTGCACAGGGAGGACGACTCACTGGTCCATACCGCAAAGGACAAAGCCGGGGGGAGTACGCCGACGACTATCCCACGGTGTGAGTGCTCCATGCCGGAGGTGCGCCTTACATAGCGCTTGATTCGCAAAGCACTCCTCTCCCTGGATATCCACAAGTCGAGTGGGCCTGACGGTATCCCCCAATTGTGCTGAGGACGTGTGCTCCAGAGTTGTCACCGGTCTTAACGCGTCTTTTCTAGTACTACTACTCTCTAGGCGTAGTCCCAAAATTATGGAAAACGGCTTTCGTCAACCCGATCCCCAAAAAAGGCGACTGCTCAGACCCGTCCAACTACGAGCCCATCGCCATCACCTCCTTGTTCTCCAAAACAATGGAATCCATTGTAAACTGCCAGCTCATGAGGTACCTTGAGAATCACCAGCTGATTAGCGATCGCCAATACGGTTTTCGTCGTGGTCGATCAGCTGGTGATCTTCTGGTCTACCTAACTCATAGATGGGCGGCGACAGTAGAGTTCAAGGGGAAGGCATTGGCCGTTAGTTTGGACATTGCGAAGGCCTTCGATCGTGTTTGGCACAAAGCGCTTCTTTCGAAGCTCCCTTCCTATGGGCTTCCAGAGAAATTGTGCAATTGGTTCACCAGCTTTCTTGGAGATCGGAGCAACAATGTCGTTGTAGACGGTGCAAGTTCCGATTACAAGCCTATTAATACTGGTGTTCTACAAGGCTGCGTGCTATCATCAACGCTGTTTCGTTGCGTTGTTTCACTGCATATTAATGATATGTTGCAAAGCGGCAACATTCATTGCTATGCAGGTGACAGCACTGGTGATGTTCTGTACACCAGCCGTGCCAAAATTTCTCAGGAATACGTCTCTGAGTACCGGTACAAGCTTTTGTCTTAAGTCGAGTCTTTGCTGAACAAAGTCTCGGACGACTCGTTCAGCAAAGAGTTGAGTTCGACTGGAGTCGACTAAATCTAGTCCACTTTAACCCTCGGAAGACACTAGTTTGCGCGTTAACCGCTAAAAGAACCCCTTTGCCGTATCTCTTCAGTTTCAAGGCACTCCCCTTGTTGCATCAGCCAGTATCGGAGTCCACGGCGACGACATATCGAGTGATGTGCAGTTTCGTGGTCAATCACACAAACAAATCACAGCGCGCGTTTCACTTTCAACTGTCATAGCGCATGCGTCAAGGGCATACCTCACGCGCGGTGTTGACCGCACTGTGACGCATGCCCTTGATGAACAAAAAAGTGGACATACCTAACGTCCGATTTGGAAAAATTGCGTAAATTCAAAATAGAGGGCAAAAAATATTATCGTCAAATGAATACTACACAACAAAAAAAGTTTTATTAACATTCAGCCAGCAGGATATTAAAAACATAATTTTAAACAAATGCATCAAATACAAAAAAATCTAAAACCATATAAAAATAAGACCGTATTACTCGTATATCTGAATTGAGAAAAATTTAAGAATAGAAACTACTTACAAGAAAGTCGATGGGATCATCGGGTCGCAACTTGGCGACTTCAAGCAGCCCAGCGGTTAGAGTGGGAAAGATATACTGCACGAGATAGTTCCGCATTGGCTCACCCGCAGCCGCTAAGGCCGCTTCCTCCTCCTCGCGCATCAAACCGTATAACTCTGACTATTTATATAAAAATAAAATATATTTAGAAGAATATTAAGTTGAGTAATTAGCAAGCACAGTGTTTAAAATCTTTTCTCACTTTTCAATCCGTGATCAGTTCTTGACTGGACATTGGCCCCACGTATATCATGGAGGACAATTAAAAGAGAATGTAAAGTCAATGAATTATTAAAATCAGCAGAGTCACTTCTTTAGTCATAATTTGATGTGAGAGAAAATTCAAGATTCGGCTGGACTTGGCAACCTGTACCAGTGTCTGTTGCAAATCATATCAGATGCAGTCATAGATTTCTGAACAGACATGATGTCATGGATACTTAAAAAGCTAGCAAAAAAATGATAAGTAAAAATCAGCTAGTCCGTTTTCCATTCTTGTCTGATAGGACGAGTTTGGGAGTTGAGATGATATGGTTTGGGGACCTCTTTTGCCGCCACTACAAGTAAAGTTTTAGTATTTCAATCATATTTAAATACAAATTCACTTAAACCTACCCAGTATTCCATTTTCTCCTCATGTTCATCTTTCATCTTTCTTTTTAATTCCTGTAACGCTTTCTCTTGTTTGGCATGCAACAACTCCTTTTCAGCCTTTTCTCGTTTCTCTGCCATCTCGATAAGTTCTAGAATTTTTAATGACAAATAAAACCAGTCCAGTTAAATAAGGTGTATATTCTATATTCCCTGCTTCGAACCGCGGGTCGAGCAAAATCAGTTACTGAGTTTTTCTGTCATGAAATTCTCAGTAGCAGTCTGGAGTCAGGAAGTTGGTGGTGTTTTACTCTCATGCCTCGGAAAACATGGAAAGCAAGATCCTGCGTCTATACGTAACAGTATAAGGCCACCACTCGAAAACCTTTCTTCCCCCTCGTTTGCCGTCTCTTCAAGCTACATAGCCTGCCCATTGCCACTTCAGCTTACTGATCTGTTGGGCTGTCGGTTATTTCAGCTCTACTGCGGTACCCTCATTACGAATTCTATCACACAGAGAAACTCCAAAAATGGCTCTCTCCATAACTAGCTGAGCGACCTTGAGGCTGTCAGGCGACCATGAGGAATCATCCGGCCAGCAGTGAAGGACTACTTCTCAAATCGATATATTATCACTGGCAACACACTCTGATTGTACACAATGTGTTGTGATCTCCCAAATGCTGCCCATGCGAGTTGCATCCGTCAACTGACCTTTCCGTCAGTCAAAGTTGGAGTTGCCTGTTTTACCTGTTGGGCAATTTGTTTTAGCTAAACATACTCGTCAACAATTACCGGAATAGGTGTGACATGAACGTTACACATCACCTTTGTCTTGTCGATATTGAATATTCTACTGTAGTAATTATATCATAAAGATGATAATTATCAATAAAGTAACTTACTATTATGTATATGAGGAATAGAATAGTTGACACTCATCCCAATTAAAATTATTTTTTATGACTTGTCAAGACGTAACTTATATAGAAAGTTTTTTTTATTTTTTTATTATTGAATCAGGGTGACAAAAGAACACAAAGCTCACCTGATAGTAAGTGTGTAGACACATATAGACATCTACATATATCATCGATTGAGCGGGAATCAAAATGCTGATGCGTTGTCACCCCTGAGGACTAAGATTGAATGCCTCGTATCTAGTAAAAAGGGTCATCGGTGATCTACACGTACTATACGAAACACAGAAACATTAAGCTGCTATTTTGATAATCAAAAATCTAATTAAACTTAAAACGGATAACGATCAAGTATTAAGACATTACATACTAAAAGTAGCAAATTCTAATTGCTAGTACAATGTAGTACGAGTATTTGACTTATGACAAAATCAACAACCCAATTAAATGTTTACAAATGTAGGACATACACCTATTTTACTTTAGCTCACCAAGTAACTTTCCATAGCGGCATGGACGTCCCATACGCAGCGACACGTCTGCATACGGACCCTTCATGGAATAGTCATTATGATCATTAACTTGCACCACGAGAGGATGAATACCCAGCTCATCGAAAAAGTTAAGGGGAGTCACATCGGGTGCATCTGCTACTCTGAACTCACGAAGATGTTTAAGCACTGTATTTTCGTCAAAACGCGCGTCACTTTCCGGCTGATTCATTGCCTTTTCACATATAAAGTCATCCGTTGCTTCCAACGATACAACTACATCTAAAATGATAAAAACATCTCAATTTAACTGAAATAAAATCCCAAGTTAACAAAATAAAAATAGTAAAATTACTCAATAAGTTTCAAAAATTATTATAAATAACCCCACATAATCCTTTATAACTTGTTATCAATACAACTTAAAATCAAAAAAATTACAATCATCATTATCAACCCTTTAAGTCTCGATGCCACCGCTGTACATAGGATTTATCAAGAATCCACGAGCACGTGTGAACTTTATGAAAAAGTAACTGCCGACACTGACAACGCTAAGCACTTGCCTTATGGCCGACACAAAAAGTCGTTAAGGTACAAAATCCACATAACATCAAATCAAAATTCAGAAATCAACATCATTTTCAGGTCCACTGCTAGACATAGGGTGCTAGATTAGTAACATTGTTGGAAGATTTTCTTAACACAGTATGCTAGGTGGATGCATTATTGATGTAAAGAAATACGCTAGTACTGTGGTTACTGCTTCGACCATTCTGTGGTATTTGAGTTGGGAATTTTGGATAGATTTTCGGCCATTAGCCTGAAGCCAAAGCAGTTAAAGTTTACATACCTATTCCTCGTAACATCCAATGCAATTTATGCACAACGAATAGACATTTTTGAAAATTTATGAAACTTTTAATAAATTATCGTTTAAACCTGGCAATATTTTCTTTAGCACGTTACTGTATAAGTCAGCGTCTTCCTCAAAATTTGAGTCATTTATTTCACTATCTTCGGTGTCTTCTTCATTTCCTTTTTCAAATACTGTCAAAAAATTTCAAAAGAGCGTGACAACAACATAAAACTGAGATAGAAATTTGAAAATAATAATTATATTGCATATAATCATTAACAGATCGAATATTAACAAAATGTTAAAGACTACATAAAAATCTAATACATATCTAGATTGAAATTATGTAATTCTTACGTGCAGTGCATTCAGCTAGGTTAGTTGGAAATCCATCTAAAACCCATCCTCTATTTTGTGCTTCATGACTAAGAAGCTTTTGTCGCAAATATCTGCCAATTCAGAATACATTACCGATTTATGATCTGTCAATTATAATTCAATAGCAAAATAATATTTACTGTTGTCCTTTATAGACTAAGGGTGACAAATGAGCACAGTTCACCTGATGGTAAGTGAATGCTGTGGCCTACAGACATCTACATGTTGTATCCTCAATTAGGAATCTAAATGCAGATGCGTTTTCATACCTGAGGGCTGAGATGGAATGACTCGTTTCCAGTAAAAATGGTTTCCGGATTTCACTCACCATACGACACACAGCAGCATTAAGAGTGATCGCTAATGATTATAACTTATAACTAATAAAAATATAAATATACTTCAACAAAGATAACAAGTATGCATTAGATAGAATATCTTAGAAAACCAACCAGCCTGCCGAGCGTGGCGACTGTATCAAAATCCCCCGAATATAATCTATGTTCAGCGGTGGCACTTTCATAGGTTGTGTTCATGTATGGGTAGATATCCTTCCCATTCTGAACAATTACTTTCTTCTTTAATTTGTTATTTATTCAATTATTAACACATTTTGAACTTAGCAAAGCTGTCATTTCTGCGTTGTAAAATGGACATTGAACGAAACGCGTAAGCGCCATGAAATCCTAGGTGTTCACGACGATATGGTCGTGTGAAAACTATACTCTATAAGCGATCTCACGCTTCATGTTTTAATAGTTTGAACTAATTTTTATCGTTGCAACAAATATTTTCGTAAGTTCACGGTGCGCTCGTCCGCGCAGGCCACCGACAGTCATCAAGATGAGATACGTTTTTTGTTTAGAATAATTTCTAGTAAGTACCTAGTACTTACAACTCAATGATGTTCATGCACTCTATTGCCCGTGTACAAATACAGCTTGCCTTCGCTATATGGAAGGCAGTCTGAGATCGAATAAAGGATTTTAGAAAATAATCGATAAATTTAATTAATCTTAAATAATGGGTCGATCTCAGACACTTAAATTCGAGATCGATTTCTCTTTCGGTAAAAATGCAACTATGTAAATATTTACAATTAAACATTTTGATTATTAGTCAGCAGAATTGTCTCGCGGCATTAGGTTTCCGGTAAAGTGCTATGTCGGTTGACACCGCGTGCGTCATTGTTAGTCCACGGCGACCGAGTTTCCCATCAAGTCAGCAAAAATGATGAAATGTTATATGGAAATATGAGGTTGCCGCGTAGTTCGCTGTTTTGTAAGGGTACATCCATATAACACCTCCCCCTGAGAACAGCAACTATTTCTGAGTCTTGAGATGATGAAATATTGCTTTTCCGTTATTGGTTTAGATTTTCCAGGTTTCGCGTAGATGTCTTCTTTGGATGGGGATTGCGACGCTTTTCTAGTGCACTGCAATAGTCCGTAACGTTTAAAGTAACAAGGCTTGTAAGTATGAGTAAACTTACCATCATTATAGTGTAAAATGGGATTGTCGTATGTTATAGATATTTCGACGAAACTTGGTTAACTTGTAAAAGCGGTTGAGACATCAAATTATGCTGAATTTCATGTAATATCTTTAAGCCAATAGATTTGAAATGTATATGAGAGGAGTTATCCAGATGAGTAGCTGTTAGTAGCGGTCGTCGATGTTAGTGATGGTAAACTCCGTAGTACACAGAAACCAAGTTAATTGGGAGGGTAAACAGATAAGTACCATTTAAAATTCTGTAATCCTCTCGCCCGCAACGAGTATGTATCTTCGTGGCGTCAGGGAATTACCAGACGTAACGTTTTTCATCAAGTTCCTCTAAAGCTGTTCTGGACAAGGTGACAGTAGTCATCTGCAGGTCTTGCTAAGGTATTGATTGATGATGAGTTCTTGCGTGCAATCTTGATGCTGTTGAAGCTGGGGGCCCATTTTCTCACTACAGAGGTACCAGTGAATGTACTTTGGGTATTCAGCTTCTATGTATACATAACCTTTTCTGTTTGCTGCTATCAATGGATAAGGAGGGATGAGAGCCTGCCGGTATTTATTAGGAGCCACATATAGCATATATAGGTATCTAGGGCGAATATAGGTATTTTAAAAATAATGATTATTTTATTTCCTCTATAATAATAACCAGGCTTCACTATATCATAATATTCTCTAGGTTCTATTTATAATATACGTTCTTTACTGTATATAGAGACTAATCTACGCAACATGCTACTAAGAATCTCGACACTTAACATTGAGTGGTGAGTACTTGAGGAACGAGTGAAGGCTGACATATTTTCGATCATTCAGCTTGCCTAATATGTCGTCTATGTTTTCCGTTATAATAGCTAGATATTGGGCGAACTTAGTGAATTTTATGAAACTCGAATCTCTGTAAGCATCTGAATCTGAAACAATTTTTAGTTTCATTTATTTTTATATGATTTTTAACTGATTTAGTCATTATTTTAGAATACTGGGCCATCCACTCGTTATTTAAGTTTAATATGGATATTAAATTGACTAGTAAGTCTATTATTATTATCCTGAAGAATTTTGATAGAATTATCATACCTTAGCGTCTAAGTTCTCTAAGTTTCCGGTGGTAGTCTTAATAATTGAACCTAATCCATCTATGAGACTTCTTTTTACGCGTGTTGGCTGTTAAGTTTGTAAGTGCTTGACAACCTTTAGTAATTTAGAGGACAAATATTCTACTTGAAGTTCGTACAATATATAAATTTCATTTTGCAACTGAAGTTTGATTCTGCTAATTGTATTTGTATTTATATATTATATATAATTCTATTTTATCGCTAATATCTTTAAGTTGTTTAAACTGTAGGAATTTATGGTAACGCATAATTAACCTTGTCGATCCAAGTCGAAATGGTAGTAATCCAGGACCTCCATCAAGGCTCTCAATTATTATCTTGCATTATAATGAATTGATAAACAGTTTCCAATAATAATTTTTGTGTCCACCTTATACTGCAACATCTTGCCATATTTTAAAGATTGAGTCAACTTATTTACAAACTATAGTGATTGATATTAACAAAATTATACTAAATTATTGCTTTTTACAAAAATTTACCATTATAGCGATATCGCAGTAATTGTTCAAAATGTTTACTGTTTCTTTCTAAACACAAACTAGCACATCTCTGTATTTTTTTTTAAATTTATCAAATCACTTTTTTCTATTATACGCTGCTTTAAATTGTTAACACTTTGTGCTTCTTATGTTTACACTAATAGGCCCACAAATTAAAGTCTAGAGATGTTAGGTCTGGTATGTATGATTGTATGGTGTGTCCGCAACCTGTCCACCTATTACCGAATTATAAGTAAAATGTAATTAATTTTTAACAAATCCTAATGACAGCACTTGATATTATATAATCATTCAGCTTTTGCTTGATAATATGCACCACGACCAGAACAGCGTGGCTCTACCACATGTAAATTAATAACGTTAACTACCACGCAATTATCCCCTTAAAAAAATCATACTACACAAATTTAATGTAATTTGTCAAAAAAGACAATCTTAAATTAACCCTATCATTTCTTCTTCATTCAGAGGATGACCAGAGAGTAAAATGCCAAGCGTCATTCGTGCCGTTTCTTTTTCATTCTCGTCCTCTTCTTCGTCTTCTTCATCCTCAATTACATTATCATCTTCCACATTTGGAATATGAAGAGCAGCTGTCTCACCTTCCTTCCAATGATTTACTCTCCGCTCCTTAAGCAAATAAATAATATGATTTTAACTTAAAACTTCTTAGGCGCGATGGGCGTCAACCGTGTGGTGGCGGTGTAGAAATATCCACTATCCCATATCGTCCTGTTGGTGTCGTAAGAAAATATTAAATAAAAGAGAGAAGCAAACCAGAAGAAGGGCTGTTTCCCTATAACTAAAAAATAAAAAACTGCGGTTGCCAAACCACATCAAGTGTGGCTACTGTGACAAATATCCTCCCCTATGAAGTAATCTATAGGGGAGGCTTATGTTCAGCAGTGAACTTTGATAGATTGTAACGATAACTGATTGGACTAAAATTTTTGTATGCAATGGAATCATACTATATTAAATAATAGATCGAGGAAAAATTTTGTTTGTATAAAATTGAAGAAAAGTTGCTTTGGTTGTACTGTTTGTATCTGGCTGGTTTTAATATCAATACATAACATTTAGCACATTAAGAAAAAAGGTAAATAAAAAGTAAAAAACACTTTCCCCCCATTTTTCAATTGCTTTTCTGTCCGCCAAAATGAGTTAATCTAACGAAGCAATTCGATACATTCTCAAGTTTTATTACAAAAAAGGGAAAAATGCGACACAAGCGGCAAAAAAAAACATCGTAACGTTTATAGACCTAATACAGTGTAAGTAAGAGTAGCATAAAGTTGGTTCAAGCGTTTTCAGGCCGGGAATTTTGACGTCAAAGATGTCGATGCCATTTTTGACAAGTGGAGCAAGATCGCCATATTAGTAGTTACGACATAGCCGAGGAATTGAGGACCGACCACAAAATAGTTTTGACATATTTGAAAAAGTCTAGATATACAAAAAGCTTGATATTTAGGTACCAAAGGAGCTCAGAGAAAAAAAAACAATGAATCGTGTACTTGGTTGCAATCCAAGAAATATTGAAACTGACCATTTTGAAAAGATTGAACACTGGTGATGAAAAGTGGTCAAAGGGTAGTCAAGCTCCACAGGCTGCAGCGAAACCCGGATTAACACGGATTGGAAACGGGAACACTCACTACACTTTTCGATCCCCAATTTGCATTACGAGGGGTGATCCAAAAGTAATGATAATGAAAATAAAACACGGTAATTAAAGTTAAAATAATAATTTATTTTTCTACATAGTCTCCTAACAAATCAAGTTTTTCTAAACTCAGGATTCCCTTTGAAAAAAATTCTTTGTCTTGACCCTCCCAAACGCTACAACAGCGGCCAGTACTTCGCTATCATCTTCGAATTTCTTGCCTCGGAGGCGTTCCTTGAGCCGAGGAAAGAGGTAGAAGTCACTAGGAGCTAGATCTGGCGAATAGGGAGGGTGTTCGAGCAGTTCGAATCCCGTTTCTTGAATGGCAGCCATCGCAACTGTGGCTTTGTGAGCCGGTGCGTTGTCTTGGTGAAACAGCACTCCAGCTCGCAGTTTGCCGCGTCTTTTTTCCTTAATGGCCTCGCGTAATCTTCTTATTTGGTCTGCGTAGTAAGAGCCCGTAATAGTGGCTCCCTTTTCCAAATATTCCACCATAATTATGCCTTGAACGTCCCATAAAACAGAAGCCATAACCTTTCCCGCCGAACTTGAAACTTTGAATTTCTTTGGCGTCGGTGAGGAGGCTCGCTTCCAAGTTATCGATTGTTGTTTCGTTTCAGGATCAAAATGGTGGATCCAGGTCTCATCCATAGTCACAAAACGGAACAAAAAATTTCTTGATCTGCTCTGATCTGAAATGGGAACTTTTCGAGATTGACCCTCGAAATGTCAACTCGATTTTTCTTTTGCTCGTCGGTTAACATTCTGGATACTCAAGGCGCAGAGACCTTTTTCATATGCAACTCGTTTGCAAGGATTCTTTGAACGCTGCCATATGAGATCCCTGTTACCTCAGCTACATGCCTGATGCATGTACTCTTCGATCTGCCAACACAACATCTTCGACTTTTTTCACGTTGTCTTCAGTGAGGGATGTGGATGGGCGTCCTTCGCGATGTTCATCTTCAGTGGATGTTCTGCCCAGTTTAAACTCCTTGGCCCAGCGTGCAACTGTAGAATATGGAGGAGCAGAGTCCCCCAATGTTTCCACTAAGCCACTGTGTATGTCTTTTGAAGACATTTTTTTCAGAGGTACTTGATGACAGCTCTAATTTAGTTTTTCTCCAAGTTGATGTTATCTCTTTGACAGTTCGTATTCAAATGAATGTATCTCCCGGAAATGGTGATCTATTTATATGATTTTTCTAGGCTGACGTAGTTAGTATATAAGCAAGCAAAAAATATTTTTTTTGGATTTTTATGTGGACCTGAAGTAACCGATTATCATTACTTTTGGATCACCCCTCGTATTGCACAATCTATATCGTTCAACGAAAAAATGAGAGCGCTGACTTAGGCCTTTATATCTACTTTCCAGCATGTATCATTACAATACACCAAATATTAATATTATGCAAATATTATGTAACAAGGTCTCCTTGCAATACGATACATAGTCATCTGCATGTGCTTTGTTGCACAGCAGATCTCGGGCCTCGGGGTAACCCCCATTTCCCGGAATGTCCTCGCGGTAGATAACTATGTACCAGTCGTGGGAGCCATTCGTAGCATTGAAAGTTTAGGCGGCTAACGGGTTTGTTCCTCAATTCGCCGCTAATTGGTATCAATATTCTCTAGTTGGTCTAATATTGAGGGTTATTACTCGACTCTCGACTCGACTCGAGAGGAGTTCTCTTGGTAGAGCTAGCCCTTCCGGGGGCCGGGTATGTAAGGGTGCCAGGTTATTAAGATATATGTGTGAGTGTGCTCGTTGTCAGCGTGCTCAAACATGCCGCGCGCCAGCCGGACCACACACTCCTGGACGGTCCCCATTTTCAGGTTGGCCGCAATAACATCATTCCGGACGTAGCGACCTGCAACGACGATGATAATAATGATAAGTTCTGCTGGGGCTGCAGTCGCGGCCTCTATCGATCACTCAAAAGCGCGTACTAGAGGCCGGAGCAGCGTATGTTAGTCTTTGTCTTATGTATAATTTATATAGTCTCAGCTCATTTATATGGTATTCAGCGGTAACTTGGACGCCAGGACGGAACGGAGCATCGCCCACGCACCTCTAGCGTTGTGGTCGAGGAGATCGACATGCGCAGCATCCTGTCGATCCGGCATCCAAGATAGGTGTTATGGCCTTCTCATACGCAAACTCTTGGACCCTGAGCGTCAATGGAGATAGTAGTTCTCTGAGGTGGCAGGTGAGCAGAGCGTTCGTCTTACCATCATTGACCCCCACTCGTCCATCAATGGTGGCAACAGGTCCAGCAGACGCTGCATCCTAGCAGCGGCGATGTGGGCTCTTCTGGACGATCTGAAGTAGGCGCTATCGTCCGCGTATAGGGCTAGCTCTACATCATGCTCCCAGTCGCGCAGAAGTCCTGCCAGGGTTGGGATGCCGTTGGTATAAGTCGCGCACATTATCGGCGACAGACAGCTGCCCTGTGGCACGCCCGCTCTGATAGGCTTCGCTGCGGACATGGCATCCTCTACACAGACGTAGAACTTCCTGTCTGCTAGGAATGACGCTACTAGCTGCAACATAACCGGAGGGGTACTTGTTTGTTCTTCCAATTTATAGAATAATCCGGAGTGCCACACCCTGTCGAACACCTTCCCTATATCGAGAAAGACTATATGCGGCTATAATGCTTCGGTGGTTTGGTCACGTAAAAAGAATGAATAAGGAAAATGTGACAAAGCAAATTTATGTTACAGAGACAGCTGGCACTAACAGGTGGTAACAAGTCTATCTAGTTATAAAACTCAAATCCACACATTCTATATGTTATTGTAAGAGCATAAAATCTCGCTGTCTGTGTTTTCCGGGGGAACTATAGTTTAATATATTCGCCGATAACAATATTGTTGGATAAGCATATTAATATATATACAAGTACAATGGTCAAACTATATCTTTAATGCATTAAGAATTCAGATTGTAACTCATTTTAACATCTTTTAAATAAGTCCTTCCCTTCGCCACGAATTCAACCATTTAACATTGACTGAAAAACATTCAGTGATGCGTATATATTAATAAGTACTTTGAAAAAATACCAAAATTTATAACTAACCAAATCCTTCAGAATATCCTCAACAATAGTGTCCTGTGAAATGTATACAAGACCGTAAGCCTCGCATATTAATTTTGATAGAGTCGTTTTCCCAATAAGCGGAGGACCGTATATAAGTACCTGTTTTAATTTATAAATTTAGTAAAATTAAATTATTGAATTAAATTACAAGTAGTAGAAGAAGCAAGACCTTAAACGACTTCAGTCCTCTTTCTTTTTTAAATTGCTTCATAAGAATGGGTACATTCTCAGCAAAAGTTAACTCTGACGTCCATTGAAGCCCCATTTTGTCAACAATAAAAGTAGGTTCCATATTCAAATTCACTGTCATGAAGTCGTATGTTCTTTGCTGGAATCACATTATTTATATAACGTGGTAATTTGAACTAAACTACTTACATAAAAATTACAAAAGTTAAAAATGCTTACGTCTATCTCGGGAATTAAAAATGCGTCCTCCGGGGGTATGCATTTAAACATTCCAGAGCCAACCAAACGTCCTAATGGTTTGATAATCTGTAAAATTACAGGGCTTAAATACCTAATATAACTGGAGACTAACAATAGCGTAACCAATTTATATACTTCTCTTTGTTTTGTAATATTTTGTTCGACCGCTAATATGTAAAGCTTCCTCGGAAAGGTCTTTATTAAATTGCAAATTATTCTAAAAAATAAAAGTAATAATGAATGAAATAAAAAGGACCGCTTAAAGTAATTTACTATTAGAGATAAAAAAATTTAAACATCGGGTACCAACTCTGCTAAATCCAAAACACTTATAAGCGGAATAACATTTCCACCGCGGCCTAGGATAGGCAAGAAAGGCTCGCATTCCCAAGCCTTCTGAAACCAATAAAACAATGGATCCTCACGCCCTCCATAAGTCAATCCAGAAGCTACCACCACAGCACTGAAATAAACATTTACTCGTATTCATATTTATTGTTAAATATAATAGTAACTAAATATTGTTATCCTATCAAAAGCTATCACTATCAAAAGTTCCTGTACCTGTACCTGAAACTTAGGCCTTCAAAGTAAATTGCCGCATACGTATATTTATATACGTATATTTGCCACACCTGGAAAGTAGGTTAGCAACCGTAGGTTGCTATTTTTATTCAGCTCTTCAATGGGGCCTTGACCGTGGAAGAAAAAGGGGAGATCTCCCGCCGGTGATCCGCCCGGGGTGCGGCTAACGATTCGTACGATAGTTCAGATTCCTATACTGTTTTTACTTCGGAACTTTGATAGCGCGATTTAGGCTTCGATGAGTTTCGCTTGTGGCGCGACGACAGCGCCGCCACAGGTTGTTTTCTTTGTCGTCTTTTACGACTCCCACAGAATTACAGTTTAAGGTAGTGTATATTCTTAGACCGCCACTACACGGTTAGTTGTTTATTTAATCAATCTATTTTGTGACGACGCTCTAATCTCTCACATTGAGAGGAATTCGCACAAGCGTTAGATACCTACTTACGATAGAGCCTTATATAGATATAGATTTAAATATATACTTGTGTCACCTACTCAGTAGCTAAATGTTACAAGCAACTTACCCAATTCGTGACTTGTATTTCTTAGCAATACCAATGACCTCATTTTCTATGCAATAATGTTGTTTGTAATTTGGATGCGGTTTCCTTTTGCGAAAATCCGTCTCAATAAAAGGCATGTCAGGAGTTTCCTTTAAAATAAATTGATCTTTAATTTTATCGAGGTCGACTAAGTATAGACGTTTCCCGATACTTTGAGTAAGGAATGCTCATATTTTCATCAGTATCGAATACTACAAAAATTCTATTCTATTCTGTATCACTTTTTATTAATTAAAAAGTAGGTGCCATATTGTGTTAATTATGATTATGATAAATTCTCTCAATTTAGAGAGGATCAGGTCGATTAATCAACTGTTTCATGTAGTTGGCAACATTTTCGGTACCTTCAATCCTCACTAGTAAAATTGAAATACAATTACCGGATCTAATGGTTTAGTAAGTGCCCATGTCATTACAGTCGATATGAGTATCAGATAACGTTTGTTGAATTCCTCGGCATCGCCGTCATCGCTTGCATTGCTTTGATGATTTTCCATTTCTTTCTCACTTTCCAGCAAATCTTTCAAAACTGCATAAGTAAAACAAAGTATTTTTATGATTTCTACAAAAAGTCGTCAAATTCCTTGAAAATAGCCGTCTAGTGGTAGTTTAGAAAATATATTAATAGGTACATACCGCGTATTATCCGATAAGTGTAGTTGGAGTTAAAAGTCGAGATCTTATTCTACCGATGATAGATGGTTGATTAAGGATCTGACTGTGATGGATTAAGGATCTTGATATATAGTTAAGGTACCCAGTTTAACGTCATGTACACAATGTGGCATTTATGGCAAGACCACCCACCGTGGGCATGGCTCTACTCGGTAGTAATCTGATTGCAATATATTTGAGGAGTTTTTGCATAAGATAATGTTGTAAATTCTTAACTACAGAACTGTATTAACAACTTTCAGCTCATTCACATAACGAACTCAGAACCCATAGCCGTAAATAATATAACGTATAACGTAGTCTTTTTTGTCGCTCATGAACATGCTTACTAGATGGTAGGACTAATTTAGCGCCTAAGAGTCTGTCTGGGTAGATAATAGACCTATTTCTACAACTAATTTAAAAAAAAATTTTTAGATAATAGACCTATTTCTACAGCTAATCAATAGTAGGTTCTACTAATTAATGGTAGAACCCCACTGCTGTAATACGAAGCGAAGATACTGCTGTGAAACGGAAGAAATAAGCTAATTTAATTAACAAACTGAACGCCATAATATTTTTCCGAAATTGTTGGACACCTTCAAGCTTCAAAGGTGGACTTTTAGCTCGTTGTCACTAATAATTATATCAGTTTATAAGTTTCCATAATGTGTGTGATGTTGATATTCGATTTTTGATTTCTTTTTCACAGATCGTTGACGAATTATATTATAATAAATCACTAAATATGAATAGCCAATCTTTACAAACGCAGACTCAGTATTTGATTTAAAATTAAATGTTACGATTCTTACGTTTAAGATAATCCGATGCAAGTTTCACTCCTTCCTTTACTATAATTTATATCTAAGATCACGGTTCCGCAGGTAAGGATTTGGGGTAAACATTCGCCAGGGGGTACAATTTTTGTGACATTGTCCAGTGACTTGATATTTGGATCGCCAACAGTACCTAGCGAAAGATAATATTTTTAAAATTAAACATTTATAATAATACGGGTTAAAGTACGAAATTGCCGTTTTAATGATGTGGGTGTAGATGTGAGGAAATATTCGTAATTTAATTTATTTTTTCAACTAACTGTAATTTTCAAAGTTCAAAAATTTTATAACAGATTGTTTGACTTTTAGTTTATTGTCTGACATCGATACCTTTGAAAATTAGAGTAATTTATGAATAATAATAAATATTATTATTGGATCCAATAAACATTATTATTATTAATAATATTTAATGAATACGAGCTTCGACGTGGTTCTAACTCATCATCATCATACAGACAGATCGCAATATCAATGCTGGTAACGAAGTCACTGCGTTTTCGTTTAATAGCTTTCGTAGCGGAAACTTTGTCTTGAAGAATGAATCAATAAAACACGAAGAAGACCATACACTGAGATTAACAACGATGAATATAAGATAATGTTGGAAGCAGATCCTTATCAAACAACCAAGTAATTAGGCGATATGGCTTAAGTAATGTAGTATTAATGGTAATTTACTAACAGTATTGACTCATTTACACCAAATTAGTAAAATAAAAATAAAATGATTTTTCGTTTATTATATAGTAGTGAATTTATAGCTCTGTACATATTAGAGTATGCGTTGAAGCCTACCGCGCTGGAATTATCGACAGGATTGTAACGTAGGTACGATGAAAAGTGAATTAATTCTCCATAATACTCTCTAATGAATAACAATAGCCTAATTCAGGGGAAATACTGGAGTAATGCTTGGTAAACTATTTATTTATGGTATGGTATGGTATGGTATGGTAATGCTCTAGAGCGAAGCTTGCCCATAGGAAACGAGTGGTAACAGTTTAGTGGTTACTTTATGTTGTATCTCACTATAGCTTTTTAATGTCTAGTGCGAAGTACTTCGAACAATGATGGCGGAACTCTCAGACAAACAACACCAGCATGGCAATTGATTTTCGCCATTATTGCTCCATGATAACAAGACCTCACACTACTCGACAAACCGTTTTAACATTGCCGTTACAGCTTTTTGATAAAAATCATCCTCCGTTAACGCCAGGCCTAGACCATAAAAATTAAGATCGAAATTATACAGATAATATGGATAAACACTTCAATTAAATAATTTTATTTCTTAGATAAGTTAATGTTTCAATATAAAAACAGCCATTTCATACTTTAACCACTAATACAAAACTATTGGATCTAAACCTGATTTGAATGCGTCGATGTCCTGAGGCAACACGTAGAGGCAACAAGTACCTACCACAAACTATATACACGATACACTGGCGATTAAGACAATTTGTTTTTATTTTTACATTTGTTCATTTTCAAACATTAATTTAGAGACAAAAATCCTTTTATATATAATTATATTTAAATATCAAAATACCTACATATACATAATATATCGTAATTATTTCGTTAGTCTTGCAAAACATTACAAGCCTCTATTAAGTCTGAGGTGAAGAATATGAGGACGTCAATAGTCCTCAGGGGCGACGCATTCTGCATTTTGATTCTTAATTGAAGATAGGTGGAGGTATGTGCTATGTGCTAGTACCTACTGTATTTGTCATCTCACTTCTTTAAATAACACAGTATCCGACATCTTTAATATTAGTTTCTGGTAAACCAGGTAAAAAACTTTACGTCAGGTAAGACGCCCATTCAGTGAGGATGTTGTACGGCTCGATTAAAGGTCAAGATGACGGATCATTCCGTGAGTGACAATACGTAGCGTTGTGAAATCAATTATCATTTATAACACCAGAGAGCGACTATAAATAATCTACCAGATTGTTAAATTTGTTAATGATAATACGTGAATGGCCAATAAATCTCAACAGTGTAGGATAAATTCCAAAAGCATCCTGATTTATCTTCAACAATTATTTACTCTACCTACCTATGATCTCAAAAGTATCATTGGGTTTTGATGATTCAATCGTGTCCTTCTGCTCTCCTAAAACAGACATTGATGATGTGACTGTCGATGGCGCGGGTTTTTGCAGTATTTTCGAAACTTTTTTCAAAATGTATTCCCCATGATACGAATTCATATCGTTTATAAAATATCTTTTGTAAGAAAATGCGTTATCAAGCGTCGCATTATTGTTTACATATTTGTTAACATTCGACATTGTCTTACAATTATGTAATTATTAAATACTTTTGTACTCATATAATTGAAACAACTTCGATAATGACTAATATTGACAGATGTGACATAATATTATTTTTAAACGTTTAAGACACAATTAATAATAGATAAAACAGAACAAAATTAATAATAGGTAAAATCTAACGAAATAAATTTTGCTATTTGTAAAAGGTTCAAACAAATCAAAATTTGTAAAAGTATTATGTATTTAAGTATAGTACATAAACGTAATGTGAAATAAAATCTCAGAACAATAACTAAAGCAATAGAATATAATCGATCAAAGATCATCAATACTAAGCATAGAAATCTTAAGGGGAAATATAACCTCAAATGGCTTAGAAAGATCCTCCGTTATGCCGAAAGTATTGCAGCATTAATTTTGAAATAAATATATGGTAAAGTTGAGGATTAATGTTAAGGACTATGTTAGACGAAAACACGATTGCGTAAAATTTTCTCGGTAGAAAAAAAATACAAAGTTACCTCCAAACTGAACAATAAACCGCTGTTATTCATAAAATACTTTAAATAAGATCATGAAACTTTGCATAATAACTGAACTAACTATAAAGCAGTGCTTATGTTATTTACTTTTTTTAAATACCATTATTTTCACTGTAAAAAGAAATTACCTAAACTATCGGCGCCTTGAAGCTTGATTCCTGTCGCCCTGTTAGTATCGCTTAGGTTTTTGAAGGCAGAAGTTGTGTCGCTTACAATCAGAATACACATTACGTAACAGGACGACGTAAAATTAAAATGGGAAATAACCGTGATAAAAATAAGAAGCGACTGGGTTGGCGTTAAGAAACAGGCATAAATATGATAAACCTAATGAAATAAGTATCTAGCGACCTATCTACTTACAGTATTAGTTATTACAAACATGTCGTTACATAGCATACGACGCGCGGGGAAGTGGGGGCGAAATTAGAATTTGAGCTGAGTTACTATATCCCCTTAATGGTACACATTATCAATAACTGAAGGCAATAAGACAACTTTTCTTTAAATGTAAACCTTATCTTGACGCGCTGTACCCTGTTATTCACGGACGTGGAATACTGCTGATGGGGAACAATATCGCCAGGACGATGTCATGATCACCAACTAACCTGCCTAGCGTGCAGGCACAACTTCCAAGTAATGCAAATGCGCACTGGCGCATTCTCTTCCAAAATTATGAATTAGATCCGAGGTCAAAATTAAACACAAAATAGAATAAAACAATTTATTAATAATTTTCCGATTACATAAGATAATATTCATTCGAAATAAAAATATAATGGACAAATGTAAGATATCATAATCAACATAGGAAGAAATTCATAATCGTACTTACGCAAAGTACAAGTACAAAAAAACACAAGTCGCATTCACACATTTCGACTAAGCGTAAGTTATAAACCTATGAATACTTGATTTCATGCTAAATTTGTGACGGAAGAGCATTGAATAATAAATCAATAAATTGTTATGAAACGTGCGGACGCGACAAGTCTATAACAAGATAGACATTTAAGTAGTCTTAATGTTTTAAGTCTTCACTATATTATAAAAAATATACTTAACTTTTAAAAATATGTCAACTGGACGGTATTATGTAAGAGAAGCAAACTTTTGCAAGTTTTATTTTAAAACACACTATTTTATTCTTTACACAGTCTTAGTAATAAATTGATTAAACTGGTTGGTAGAACCAAAAATTTGAATATAATTGTTGCCATCAACGTGCATATTATACCAGATATATACAAAACGTAGACACTATCCGTTTTTATATATTTTGACTTTTTAAGGGAGACACATATACGAAGCGAATACATAGTCCACCTGATAGTAACTGGATGCTGTGGCACATAGACACCATCTATCTATCTCTATTCATAAATCTACTTCATTAAGACTCACAATAGGAATAAGAAGGAATATCTCGTTAGTTCGTTACCAATAAAAAGAGTCTCCAGATTTCATCGCTTAACATACGAAACACAACAGCATAAACTGCTATTTAACGCTGATATTCGGCGCATGGTCCTTCGCCAGTCGATGCAATCCATTCGTACCGCAATCATCATACGCAGACGCAGCGTGTCCCGAGCTAAGATCCGGAGTTACAAAGCAGATGTTTCAAAATGGGCTAGGTCTATGTACACTACTTTAAAAAAAAAGAGAAAAATCTGTAGCATTCGGGGAAAATACAGATAATTCATTTAAATGTATCCTGTCGTGGTAAACAATTATTTTTATCGACTTTCAACATGGCGTCTCATCGATTTAGTTAATCTGTGCTTATAGACAATGACAGTAAATACTAAAGCGATCAATGACCATAGAAAGGAAACTGTCAGTTGTCATAATAGTGTCACAAATACTCTTTTTTTCCTAGTTTGGAAACTTCCAAACTTGCCAAAGACACCTTACCGCCATGACGGGTTTTTATTGTGTGTTGCAATTTCAAGTATAAATTCCTGTGCTTTACCAGCAAACAAAGCCATTATAAAATAATTGGTCAGTTGAGAACCGTTTAAAATGTTTGGAGTATAGTGTACAAGGACCTGGCCCAGACTCCATACATTTTGGAACATCTCATTTATACGAAATTTACTTTGGTTATTATAATAATAACTTAATATTGTATTATATACTCACTAATTACATTACAATTAATTGTTCCCAAGCACCGTAGAATAAAATCTAATATAAATTATAGTGTAATCATGTTCATGTTAAACTCATTTTTCTTGTATAATAAAAGATTACATAAAAAATTGGCATACCTTTTTAACATGAGATCTGGGCAAATTAAATATTTATGTTATCGAAATATGCAAGTAGCTTTTTATACAGTCTAGCTAAAATTCGAGCATAATGATACCGATCATTAAGTAAAACAATTTTTTTAAGTATTCAATTTCAGTCTCAGCGCTTTTTTCGATTAAATGATTCATCCAAAATTCAAGTCAATTACTATTCAAAAGCGTAACTATGGCACGAACAAATTGTTATAATAATACTGTTCATTAGTTGTACTATACTAAATTAGTGTCTTAATATTCGATGTGGTAAGAGAAAGGCTTATGTATGTGTTAATTTGTAATAAGATTTACTTATTACTTAAGTAACACATAAAATTAACACATTTTCTTATTTGTTCTAGAATGAACTGGCGTAGATAAAAACTGGAATGTATAGTGGACAAAAAATCTCATTTGGAATGTAATTGAAATGCATTTTATTAACATAAACAATAATTGTCAATTACACGTATTTAATTATCTATAACTACTTAATACTATAAAGAGGAAGTGCGAATTTTGTGTGTTTGTGTATATGTGGAGGGTAATCTTCAGAACCACTGTATCTATTTAAAAATTCTTTCACCATTTGAAAGGTACATTATTACAGAGGAGGAGGTTCCCAATGTGTATGTTCTTTTTTAATGTGTGTTACGCGATATCTTTGCAGATTGTGAACCGATTTTATATTTCTTTTTTTATTAAATGGGCTTCACCTCAAGGGTGGTCCCATTTACGTTTGAAGGAAAAGTTCCGCCCGCAAGGGTGGAAAATGTTTCGTATTGGACTATTGTTTAGGAAAAAGGGGAAAATTTGGAGAAAAATTGGGTTGCAAATATTTATCTTCTTTTTTAGCAATTTGAAGTGGGTTTTTACTCGGTCGGGTTTTAAAAGTTATAATTATTTAATAATTAAAACTTTGAACAAAAGATTTTAAAAAAGTCCTAAGGATTACACACAGTAGCCATTTTTATAAAATACCTCCCGCACGACAAATTATTTATAGTGGCATGTAGTTAGGTCTCTCTAGGTCAGGAAATGTGAAGAATCAATTTATTTTAAACCTCAGAACAACGAAACATAACCGTGAATTTTTAAAATAGATTAGACCTAATTGATATTTAATATAGATAAATTGTTCAACCCGGGCAAAGCGTTAGTTTTAAAATAAATTTAAGTGAGTATCCAGTAATTATTACTAAAAAAATAAGTACATTTGAAATACTAAATTACAATAAATTTATCTCAATACAATCATTCAATAAAAAAGATATATAATGGTCCAATAATATCGTGTGTGCTTGCAATATGAAACAGAATGAGTAGGAAATTACCTAATAATAGTATAATGTGTAATGTAATATTGTTATTAAATCAATCACGAATTAGTTACCAATATGGCAAGTGAAATAGCGGCATCGTATCAATATTTACTTTCCGTTTCTAATTGTAATAATATAATAGTTTTTATAAGCGTACATATTTAAATCATTTAACATATTATGTAAATAAAAAATTATTTCATAAGGTGCTATAATATTTTGAGAATTCTAATTTAATAATCCGGTACTTTGAAGTGTAAACGAAAGTATCACTGCAAAGAATTATAAATGCGATTTGATGATTTTCTTGAACTACACACTTGGGATTTTTTTTAAACTAATGTATGACCGATGTTCCACTTACATATTTAAATTATGTAGGAAATATGAGTGTTAAAGGTTCAATATTATGATTATCATCACTATGATATTATAATTAAATAATAATACACCAGACGACCTAATGGTCCAGTGACTAAAGAATACCTGGCCAATACTTACGCTTTTCATTGTTTAAAAGCTGTTACTGTGGCCGAAATTGAAAATCAGCCAGAAGAACATCATTTACCATGCTACTCATCAATATCGGCACGACCATGATATTGTATATAAAATTTTAAAAAATCCATATATAATCTTTTTTTCAATTTTTTTACAAATTAGCAATATAATCTTTTGTACATTTAATAATAAATAGAATGTATATTTCATTGCATCAATTCAAAAAATAATCCTAAAAGTAACCAGTAAAATGACTAAGTAATAAAAACCATTTAAATTATATATATATATATATATATATATATATATATATATATATAGATATGTTTAAGTACATAGTTTATTGTTCCTAATTTTAAGTGTATAAACGATTAACAGAAATAAATGGGATATTAAGATATCATCTCGTTTTAGGTTTCCTTCGAAACTTGAAAAGCGAAATAATATTAAATATTTTAAAAGGCACTTTTCTGTTTTGTTTATAATCATTGACAACTGAAATTACTCCATAATTTCAGAGCACCTTTAATTTTGAGAACTCGATTATTCTAACTTTTACAGCACCAAACTTTTTCTACCTTTAACAATTCTCATCTTAGTGACTTAAGTACAAAATGATCAAGTGAGCCCGTAATTGATATTTTATCTACAGTTGTGTAGTAATAACAGATTTACGATGTATGATAGTTATTTCTTTTTCCCCAATACCAGAAGGTGAACTTGGTTCAGAAGATACAAGCCAAGGAGAGAGAGATGATATTGGTTGAGATTTAGGAGTAACATCCTCTTTTCTTTCTACTGGTTTTGGTGAAGCCAACTTTGTTTGGGCCCGAGGAGGTTCAACCACTACTATTGACACATATTGCGAATTATTTGCTATTGGAGAACTAGGCTCATTGAGAATTTTCGGTGATGGTGTAGATGGAATAGACATGTTCATGTTTGAAGACTCATTGATAATTTTAACTTCATTCTCTCGAGCTTTTAAAATATTGTTACATTTTAACTGCCCCAGAGGCAGATTTTTATTTGAAGATAAATAACATTTTGCTTGGTTATTTGGCAGTTCCTTGTCAGACAGTGTATCTAATTGATCCTTCTTTGCTTCATTTTTGGATTCATCGTTATTTAGTTTCTCTTTAACCAAGCTCATGAGAAGATCATTAAGTGGATTAAATTCTGCCACAGGAGAACATTTACAGGGTGGTTTGTTAATAACAAGCTGTGTCAAATTATTTTTCTTCTCTTCTACATTACCTTTGTCTATTTTAAATAAAACTTTGTTACTGATAGCATCATCTTTGGATATCTTAACTTCTTCTGCTGGATCATCATTCATAAGATTCTTCGTAGAAGACTCACCTATTTCAGTTTGTTTAGAATCTATTTCTAAAAGTGATGATTTATGAGATTTGGCACTACTCTTTCTTGATAATGTATCAAGTCCCAAATCCGGTACAAGGGGCGTGGTATCGGTACTGGTACTGGGCAATTCGTTATTTACTTCAGACTGAGATGGAGTTTCAGGTTTTACAGATACATTTTGTTTTTCGCGTTCTCTTAATACATGACTCTGACGTCGAGCAAATCGCTGACTAGGACGTCTCTCGAACTGAACGGTACGACGTGCTCGATTTTGTTGAGTTGTTTGATATTCAGTTTTACCTGAATATTGGAATCTCGATCCCATCCTGAAGAAGTTTTGCCTTGCAGAAGGACCTTTAACCGGCGCTCGTAAGCGGAAGAATGTGTGGTGTTCGACAGCACATTTCCAAAGATGTTTACAAGCTTTTTCGTTGTGTAATCGGAATACGAATGTGTGCTCTTGTTCACGCCCCTGGTCATCGTCTTCGACAACTACTAAAGTTAGTTTCTTTTTTTTGAAATCCAATTTGCTTATTTTAGGCCAAAAGAACAGTCCAATTTTTTGTGGTCCCTCGAAAACTAAAATACCGGTGGGCGTCAATCCCAAGTGATATTCACATCCATCTTTGCCCAACACTATGTGCATATCAACACCATACATTTCAAGCCACTTAGCTTTATTTAGGTAATTCACTTCTGCTTGAGCTGGAGTGAGGCCCTTGTATTTCTTGTACTCTTCTAATATTTCTATTTCCATCTCTTCAGTTTGATTTGGGACAAATCTAAATTCAGAAACTGTGGCAGGTGTATGAATAGATTCATCAAAATCCCCTAATTCTGATTGAAGAGCTAATGCAGCTAATTCTACTGCGGTAGAATGCGGACATTCTAATTTACTTTCTAAAATATCTTTCTTCAATTGCAGAAAGAACTGATATCGCGTCAGTTCCTCCCTTAAATTATTCGGTTCAGATGAATAAAACTTGACTTTAAGACGTAAGGTGTATGGAGGTCCAATTTTAACTTGTTTCTTTATAGTTTTAGTAGGGTCTAACCAATGCTTAACATTGTTTGTATCGGTGAATTGTAAACCAAAATAATCTTTTTCAATTAAGTCTAAAGAATAAAAGACTTGTTCATACAGATCTGCAGCACTGGCTTTCTTAGAAAGATTAATAGATAAGTCAGTTTCATCTAATAACATTACCTTACATTGTATCAGATTTTTGCTGTTTGAAGCTTTTTGAGCTTGTTTGTTGCGGTTTTGGCTTGATGAGCGTCCTCTCCTACTAAGAAAACGCAACATTTTCAATAGGCGCGAAGAATCTAAAACAAAAAATTGTATAAAATAAATAATATGCTATGTGCCAATAATAAATTCATCGTTTCATTCCCGAAAAACGTAAAGCTCTCGATACAGCACATCGCAGTGTTGCCATTTCATATTAAGGTCACATAAAACACTCAGACTGGCAATGGATGGAAACGTCAAATGGGGCTAAACATTGATGAGACTGCTAAGAGTAGTTGATTATAGCAAACCCTAAATACTATGTTAGAGCATGCTGGCAGCACATGGTATTATATAAAAAGGAAACTATTTTCCATAGTAATTGATAGTAAAGAAGAAATAAAAATACATTTACTGATGGTGAGAATATTCACTACCCCATATTGTTATATGGGTGTCGTACAAGGCGACAGAGGAAAACTGAAACCAAGAGTGGTAACTCCGCCATTGCCGGTCCCAAGCCCGGATGAGAAAGGAGGAGGGGACGGTTCCGCCGGAGAGAGTGGGTGTCTCCGGTGGACTAACACACCCACCTGCGCTAGGACCTGCGCAGTCGAGCGCCGTACGCGGGGATGAAGGAGTCCTGGAGGGTTGAGCCGATCGTCGCTGGGGTATATAGTGGCGAGAGGCAACACGCCCTCTTTGGTCCGGATTTCAAGCTAAACGGTGGCCCTATCTGCTAGCCACAGATAGGGAAATGGCCAAGCGCCCCGTCAGAGGGTCGCAGGCGAGGGATGTGGGGGCTGCCTAGTTTTCCTGAAAAGGGGGCTGGGTGGTGGTAAAGGCCATGCTGACGGAGCAAGTGACAGTTTATTCGGGTGGTGGGGATGGGCCTTGTCAGCCCCATCTACCAGCTGGATCGAGCTCCCGAAGTCGCGCTGTGAGCCAACTTCGCGTCCCTATATTCTCCCGGTAATCCTAACGCCTGAAGTAGGGCGTTTCCAAAGGTGTGGGCTCCATGGAGGGTGGGAAGCCGGGGGGATGAATTTTAAAGAACAAAAAATTATGGACAATTTAAGGCCCAATAAGAAAGAGGGAGAGGTGTCAGAGGTGCTTACCAGAGACACCAAAGAACAAGGGGGAACCGTCACTAAACCGACGGTTCCACGGACAGTACCGTCCAGCGTAGGTGCCCCCACCAAAAGGACAACTACCTCACTGAACTTTTCCAAAACCAGTTCCAAGGAGCTGGACGAGAAAAAAGAACAAGAGCCCGCGAGTAACAAAACTGCGGAGCCACTACGAACTGACGACCTTTTCTCTGCTGCCTGGCAAGTAGTGAGCGTAGGGGGACGAACAAAGAATTTAATCTATAACGCACACCCAACAAAACTATATTATTTCAATGTGTAGTTCCGTAAATATAAGAAATCATTACGTAAGGGGAAAGGCAAGGCACCCAAAAAGGTGACTTGCCGACCTGACGGACCATCAGGAGGGTCTATCCCTGCAGGCAGTAGTGGAAAGGCCAAAAACAAGAACAAGAAGCAGCGGGAAAAAGGCCGAAGAGAACGAGCCGCATTGGCTGCTTCCGAAACTAAAACCAAGGAGGCTGGGGAAGCTACTGCGACTGGGGTGCTTGGAGCTGGAGCCAGTAGCCACACTGAAGCTGGGAAGGATAAAAATCCAGCCCAAGTGGAAGTCGCGGCCGCGGGAACCAGATCTAGGATATCCGCCAGGAAGCAGCGAGCGGCCAAGCGTCCTGGGAAGAAGGAAAGAGCAGCCAAAAGGATGCTGGAAGAGTCCACCTCGCCTAGAGGGGAACACAAAAAAGTGCGACTCGAACAGCAACCAAAGGCTGCAAGAACGAGCTACGCTTCCGCTGCTAGAGCAGATTTGGGTGTGGCCTTAACGTGTGCGCGTTCAGGTCACATTACGAAGGAAGTAGCAGACGACATCCCCGTAGCAATACAGAGGAAGATAATCAGCGAGGCGTGGAGTAGCCAGGACCCTGATGCGTCGGGCCCAGTTTTTAGGGGCAAACCAGTTTATACGGAGGGTGTCCTGAAACTGTGGTGCGACGATCAGAAGGCTCTGGACTGGTTGAAGGGGAATATTGCTACCCTCGATCTTAAATCCAACACCTTGCTGACAATAAAGAAACAGTCTGAGATACCACAAAGAGTCAAATGTGGTATCCTTATCCCTGATGGCCAAGGAGCCTGGAAAGACTCACGTGACATTGGTCGCGTGCTGGCGTACCAGAACCGCTGGGTTAACATCAGGGACTGGCTGTTACTCAAGGCTGATAAGCAGACGGACGGGTGGTTCCTCGTTGTTTCGGTGCCGGAGGATCATATTCCGACACTGATGAAGGCCGGACGCCGTCTCGCATGTGTATGCGGGGCGATATACGTAAAATTCCAGGGTCGTGGAGGTAAATTCTTTGACACTCCACCGAGCAAAGAGGTAGAAAACAACCCGGAAGTTATGGATACCGGAGCCACGGTTACCGGTACAGCGGAATCACTGGAGGCCAAATCCAGTAAACAAACGGCCTGCACAACTGAGCCGAAGCCCCCAGTGGAGATCGGGCTCAGCGGCAGCTCACTGAGTGACAAAGAGGACTGCATTTTGCCGACCACTTCCGACTCGGTGGCTGACGATGAGACCCGAGATTTTCTGGCAGGCCTATTTTTGGGCGGGGACGGGGAGGACGCGATCAATGATGGCGTGCCCTTCGTCCAAAACTAGCCTAGTGCAGGCCAACCTCCACCACAGAGAAACTGCGTCGGCTCAATTACGCAAGTGGTTGGAGGTTCAAAGGACTGCCATAGTCTTAATCCAGGGGCCGTGGGTTGGGGCTGGTAAAATTAAAGGCCTAAACAACCTAAAAGGTAAGCTATTCTACAGCTCTGAAAACGACGAGCCTAGAGCGTGTATTTACACTACTAAAGATATCTGTGCACAACCATTAATAGATTTCTGTTCTAGAGACATGTATGCCGTGGCAATACAATACACACAGGAGAGAAGATTAGTCGTCGCCTCGGTCTACATGCCGGAGGAAGACACTACTCCCCCTCATGCCTCGGCAGGCTGGTGAACTTCTGCGAGAGGACCGGACTAGAGGTTGTGATCGGGACGGACTCCAACGCACATCATCCCCTTTGGGGAATGGAGAAACCAAATGAACGAGGTAAGGTTTTAGTTGAATATTTATTTAGTACTAACCTAACCATTTTAAACATAGGTTCTGAACCTACTTTCATAAACAAACGCTGTCGCACTATAATCGACCTCACACTTGCAACAGAAGGAGCAGCCAAACTAATTACGGGATGGCATGTGTCGAAAGAGGCCTCATGCTCAGACCATAGATGGATCTGCTTCGCACTACAGGTCGATATCCCCTCTACACCACCATGGAGAAATCCCCGAATGACGGATAAAACAAAATACCTAAATAGGCTGACGTCTTCGCTCGCGGGTTTTGAGGGGATAAATACAATAGCAGATCAGTCGCTCCTAGAAGAACAGGTAGCAGCTGTTACTAAGGCCATGATAGATAGCTACCATGAATCATGTCCAGAAATCACTCCACCAAGGCATGCCGAGGTAAAGCAACAGTGGTGGGGTGAAGAACTCGATAGGAAACGTAAGAAGGTAAGAAAAGCCCTAAATAGGGCCATGAATACCTCAATGAATGAAGACTGGCTACTAGATAAGAAAGCTAAGTCTGAATACAAAAAATGTATCAGGTATCGACGCTCGACTGGGTTCTGTGGCAACATAGAAACCTGCGAACAAGCAAATAGGATAAGGAATATTCTAGCTAAACAGAACACGTCGGGATCCATGTCTCTAAAGAAACCCGACGGTAACTACTCAACATCGCCGGATGAAGCCCAACGCATCCTAATTGAAACGCACTTCCCAGGTTGCTGCGTAACCCAGGAGGCAAACCGGCATGACGACATACCTACACCAACAGTAGAAGACTGGAATTTAGCACAGAGAGTGGTAACGATGGACAAAATCCATTGGGCCATTCACAGTTTCCTCCCCTATAAGGCGGCAGGACCTGACGACATATTCCCGGCACTCCTACAGTGGGGGGGTAAAGCCCTAATAGTCAGACTTGTTGCCATAATGAGAGCCTGTCTGGCTCTTAAATATGTTCCTAGGGGATGGAGGGAAGTGAAAGTCACATTTATACCCAAACCAGGTAAGAGCGATTACACTGACCCTAAATCCCACAGGCCCATTAGCCTAACATCCTTTCTCCTAAAGACGATGGAGAGGATGTGTGAAAGGGAATTAAGGGGGTCGGCGCTAATGAACTTACCACTACACGACAAGCAACACGCCTACAGTCTAGGCAAATCAACAGAATCGGCACTTCATCAGGTAATTACAAAAATTGAAGAGGCCATCCAAAACAAAGAAATATGTCTAGGTTCCTTCATAGATATAGAAGGTGCTTTTGACAGAACGAATCTTCTTCTCCAGCATAAAAGGTGCACTCAGTAGACATAAAGTTGAACCGGCACTGATCGACTGGATAGTTTGCATGCTCAGTACACGAATAATAAAGAACTCATCAGCAAATTAAATACTAATCACTTCTATACAGTAGGTTATGCTGATGACCTGACAATACTGGTCTCGGGAAAGACAGCAAGCATAGTGTGCGACCTGACCCAACTCCCCGTATAGTGGAGAGATGGTGCAGGGAATACGACTTAACCGTCAACCCAAATAAAACGGTTTTAGTAATGTTCACACAAAAACGAATGCTGAATAACTATCATCTTCCAAGTCTTTTTAGCACAAAACTCCAGCTATCCTCTGAGGTAAAATATTTAGGTCTTACCTTGGACAGCAAACTTAACTGGAATAAACACATAGAAAACAAAATCAACAAAGCTAGTATAACTTTCTGGCAATGCAGAAACATGATTGGCAAAAGA